ACTACTACTACTACTACTACTACTACTACTACTACTACTACTACTACTACTACTACTACTAGTAATGATAATAATAATAGTGATTATGGTTGAATAATGATTTTTACAGTGTTAAAATGTTTCTATAAGGTGTCATAAAACAATTACACCTAGTAAATTTGAACAATAATAAATATAAAACAATATTTGATAAGATACTAAAGAAACAAAAAAGAAAGAAATCTATTTTAATCGGATATTATAACAGTCTACACCATATTTATTTCTATGAGTTATTTACTTATTACATGAGTTGAGTATAGATTTGACCCATAGGACAACAAAAACGGGAAAGAAAATTGATTTTTAAGTATTGAAAATCTGGACAAAATAATAATTATAAGAACTGTATATATATATATGTTTATATTTGTATGTATGTGTATTAGAGAGATTTTGTGCGCATGTGCATGTATGTGTATATGTGTACGTGCCTATGTTACATTTCCCTAGAGTAGGAAGGAACAAAAGTGTAGAATAGATTAAAGGAATTAAAAAATGTCAATGAAACGATTTAATTGAAATGACCTATTAATTTTCATTCATTTTCTTTTAATAAAACACATCTTGTTTCGTACATGAGAAACAAACAAACAAACAACAACAGTTGAAATGATTTTGTTTCATGAAACACCTAATGGATAATTAATAGTAGTTTAATTAAATTTAATAAAAAAATTAAGTTGAAGCACAAAAATAATAATAATAAATTGAAGACTCTAAGGAATCATTATTATTAAGCAATTAATTATTTCAATGGTTAAGATCATGAGTCAGTTGAAGCTAGACCACCATGGAAAACCCGGAAGCACGGGACGGCTGTTTCGTCCTGTCGTGGGACTCCTTAGTTGTGCGCATCCACGACCTAGCCCCCCGCGTGGTTCGAACCCAAGGCCTACTGATCTTGCTCGCGAGCACTTAACCAGTAGACCACTGAACCGGCATCTGACGGTGTTAATGTCCAACTTTAACTAATTTACGAAATTGCGAGACTCATCCACCATTGTCTTCAATGAGTTACTATCTCACAACAGAGCTGGTTGAACTCCACTGGACACTACTTCTCACTAGAACTCCAAGATATACCTCTTGAAGTAAGTCACTAGTGAGCATATGTTGATTAATATCAGATGGGTTTTGTGGCGAGGTCGTGAATGTGCACTGATGAGGAGTCCCACAACCGGACGAAACGGCTGTTCAGTGCTTCCAGGTTTTACATGGTGGTCTAGCTTCAACTGAGTCATGATCTTAACCATTGAAATTATTATAATATCCACAAAACCCATCTGATACTAATTAATTATTGTTTATCGATGTATGCTTCGAATTAGTAGATATGATTTTAAAGAAATTATTGATAACAATTTGATTAAAATAATATTTCACTTGATTCCCTTAGTAACTGTCATTCAATATGAGTACATAAAAAGGAATTCTAATTCATTAGTTGAGTTGTAATAATCTTGTTGATACAAATTTCTTGGATATTAAATATACTGAAAGCAATAGATTCAATTATTTATTGTCAAGTCATAATCTATTATTTCATTACAATGGGTATTATTATAGGTTAAAATTAATGATAAATGGTTAGAATGTATCAAATATATGTTGATTGACAGATCATTCATAATGATACATGACTAAGTGATAATGACTCCCCCATGATATTAGTGAACAAACAAGGCATTATGATTTGTGACTAATATTAATGGTTATTTCTAAATAAGGTTATGAAAAGTAAGAAAGTTTTGAAATAACTATTTTCAATATGGTTACCATATTGTTTTACGAAAATTTATTGACAATATGTATTGCTTAATATAACCATGTTACTAATCGAGATAGGAATTCTAACATTCAGAAATGAACTTAAAATAAAGTCAGATTATTACATACTTTTACATATCTATCACTTTAACTGCTTCTGAGAAGTAAGCTACATTGACAAATATACTGAAATTACTTTTCACTTCCCACGGACGTTTTCAGTTAGAACAATGCAAAGCCATGGTTAAAGCTGTCAACAATTCTACCTTAACTCATCTTTCTCTCACCGACCATGAGGCTTAAATTTAATGATTGGTTTTGGTGAAAGTAATTTGTTAGAAGAAATTAAGCTCCGAATCTTTCGTCTTACTTAAATAGTTATAGTACGATGTAAAAACGAAGCAAGGAAATCCTATTGTAAATGCATACTCAATGGTCTGGAGGTTATGGGCTCACCGCGAGACAATAAGATCCTTAGTTCGATCTCTAGGTTAGGCTTGTTGGTGGATAATACTATGGAGTTCCATACTAGGACGAAAAAGATATTCAATCTCCCCTAGTTTCTTACGACTACCTAATTAGTGTCAGATTGTAGTACTAATTTACACTTTATCTTCGTTTTAGTGAAAATGAGGATTTTTTAAACGATTATGGAAGAGATAATATTAATTAGAGTGAAACAAAGTAAAGAACGTCAGGGTCTATTACGTCGATTTCGCTTTTAAAATTGTTGAGATTAAACAGGCAGGAGTTACTAAGCTCCTTCACCCGTACTTTAACTCTTTCAAAAAAGATGAAAATTGTTTAACCCTATGTAGCGTAAATAATAACACCGGTATAACAGTTACATCCTTGTTTAATGCTACCTAGATCACTGTTTTATACACTTTAATCTGTGAATATTTAATAAAGATCAGAGATGATAAAAAGCTATGCATTTATAATATGTTTCTTAATAGCATCAAACTAATAGAATCAAACTAAAAATAGATATATTATTGCAAGAGATTACAGTAGGGAAATATTAAGGGAATTGAATTGGGATAAACTATTCTGACCTAAATGTAAGACAATAAAACTGAATGAGACTTAGTGTAAGCAATGATGAATAGTGGCTAGCATTGGAATCCAGGACGCGCGTTCCGCTCTATTCGGGACTCGTCAGCTAGATGTACCTGCATCTCAGAGTTGATGTTTACTCTGAAACTCCAACCCAGTACTACTCAGCTACTGACTCCTGATAGCCACTTACTTGTGCAATGGGGTGAATTTAGGCAATATCGAGGGATACACACAGTATGCACATATGCCAATAACAGACTGATCAATTGCAGTCTTAAACCTTGAAGGGAAGATACAAGCCAAACCATACCAAGTGAATTTAAATGAGACATACTATCTGATTTTTTATATAAAAGAGAACATTTTCATGAACCTTAAAATAATTAATACTGGATTTATAAAAAGATTCGATTCCAAAGTCAAGTATTTTTCATTAGCATAGTAATGTTAAAGATTATGTCTGAAAGAAGTAAATTTACATTTTGTGTATTCCATTAGACAATAACTTAAGGTTTGATCACTATGATAAATATAATTGAGACATTTTTTTCATTACAAAACGTAACCTTCATATATATGACAGTTATTCTCATAGTTAATAAATACTGAAAAGAATATCTATCTACTCAATAATATACGGGAGAGAACTTGTCTCTATCTAGGTTTAGGCCTTGATACAACAGGCTATCGGTTGACAAGCGAGCGAGCGAGAGAATATGAGTTAACTGGAATCCTACTCGATTTATTCGTGATTCCCGAATCAGATTAGAATAAAGAGATACATAAACGAATAGATGACTAACACGCCCACAACGCACAAACAATTAAAAAAATACAATAACGTCCAAACTAGACATTTGAGTAGAAAAATAGAGTACAAAATATTATGTATAAATTACGATAGCTTTGGAATAGAAAGAGCTATGACCCTGAATCATGCATCAACGAAAGCTTATGGTTCATAGAGTGACCTGGAGATCAAACAAATGTTAGTCTTTTACAAACTATGAGTTAAGTGAAATTATGTCCCTGAAAATAGTTCACGTTGTTTATCATGGCTTCTTTATTTCTCTGTTCACACCAGAAATTTTTCTACTATCTTTTCATATGACCCTATTTTTATTCTTTCAATAAGTCATTCATAAGTTGAGTATGATGTATATCGCCTCAAGTTGTCACACTTCACATCAGCACAAAGAGAGAGTAAACGAGCAAGATATATAACAAGAAACGTAAAAAGTATTAGTATTGTCATCGCAATGCACCTAATATTCACACTGATTGATATTACAAAGAAATGAACACAAAAAAAGACACAATAGAATAGAGAAGTAAATCGTTTGGAATAATATGAAGTGTTATAGTGTAAAAGAAGATAGAGAGTAAATACAACTATGCAACTACAACTGATTTTGAGCCAAGCCATCTTTCAAAAAGTCATTGGTCGGGATTATCTCTTTGACACCAACCAGTAAGTCATCACATCTTAACATGACTTAGACCAAGAGCAGGTAAATATGAGTAACGCAGGTGAAAGTTACCTCTTATTTTTGCAGGCTTGAATCGGTTGTTTTAAATGTTTCATTTATTTAATTATTTATTATTTTGAAAGTGAAAAAAGTAACAATGTTGGTGAGAATTTCAAATTACCAGTATTAAATGCCTTGAAATACATTGGGAACTTCAAAGCTAATTTTAGATCAATTGAATTTTTTTATAAACGTTGTATTGGTAATACAGAGTAATGTGTGATTTTTGTTTTCATAATACAACAGTAACTGTTCACTTGCAAAGAATTTATCTAAAAACCACAGTTTAATGCAGTAGACTCTGAGCTAGTGTAATCAGTACTTAGCTGTTTGTTTATGTACTTAGTTAAAAGTGGGTTAAATATTTGCCTCAGTTGTCTAAATTGAAATAAGAGGTGGGACATATGACCATGCAACTAGGTGACAAGAAGCCAAAGATTTAAACTTTTGGGTTATTTCGTTTCCGAATGGCTAAGAATGCTAATATTCTACTAAAATCCTGTTAGGTGGATAAATTGAGTTAAAGCTCCAATTCAGTGGATGTTAATTATGAATTTTAATGTATAGAACTAAGAATATTAAACAGTTCAACAAACTTACACTTGACATAGGTTGTTTGGTGACAGCTTCTTCTCCCATTATTTCGGTTATGTACTAATAGCTAATGAAGAAATCAAATAGCATATGTCATACAATAATATTAAAACATACAACCACACACACGTAGTTCGCTGTTCAATGTAATTCAGTTGAGTAAATACAATATGGTTATATAAGCTTTATTTGTACTCATTATCAAACATTTTATAAAATATATAAAAAAAAGATTGGCCACGTTTAACTGACCTAGGATTGGTTGAATCGAAAAAATCGGAATTTCATATCAATATATATATCAATTTTAAAAAAAGGGAATGAATAAAATGTAGTAATATCCAAGACACTAACAAGTAAGTGTTGTTTTTTAATTTAAAGATTACCTTGTCATGTGAACAAAATAAATAGGGAATAACTTGGCAAATAAAATTGAACAATATTTCTGGTTAAGAGTAATGAAAGCCAATGATTATTACATGATTAGAAAGTTTAATATGTACGTTTAATTGGAATTTATAATGTATTGATCACTGATTTGTAAATAGAAGACTGAATAAATAAAGTTCTCGACTTCAGACCTTGTGTTTGCGAAGAAGATATGGACCTCAATGAAAATTTCAATTGACTCAATAATTATCGCTCAATTCAATTTAGATTAGAAGCAGAGTCAAACGAGGAATTTCATTTTCTTGATGACTTTTTGAAATGAAGGTCGGATAGCTATTTACATCGATGTATAAAATACCGACTTGGAGTGGTCAGTATGCAAATTTCTATAGCTGAGTATCATTGCATAGAGAGATAAACTTAATGCACTATTTACCCTCGAGAACTAGGCGAATATGTTCTCCTTAAACAATAGATAACGAACTACTTCAACTTCGACGGATACCCATTAGAAATTGCTGTCCACCTAGATCTGTCGACAGGAAATTGATACCAAGACAAAATCCTGGAAAAGCGCCGACAGTTTGAAAGGAAACTTTTTATGGATAACGAATTGAAGGGAGATACGGGTCCCGAACTCTTGAATAAACGGATTTCAAAATCCCTGAATAAAACTTTCTATGCAGCTAAGCTTCGTACTGTCTTCTCAAGCCAGCCTACAAACTTCCACTTTGAGTTTCATCCATGTGGATCTATAAATTTATTTGCTCCTGTGGGGTAGGTTACATTGGTTGTATAGAGCGACCAGTTTTCATATGCATCTCAGAACCTTACCCGGAGTGGCTTTTAAAGGGAGAATGTAAAACAGTCACCCGTTCAATACAGCAACACCTAATCAACAATGATCAGGTTGCTCCAAAGGAATCTTCCTTCAAAATAATCTACACAATCAAGGGAACTGAATCGAATACTTATGCACTGGTGAGACGTTAATGATCAACCAATGCAGACCCAAACTCTGCGTGCAGAAAAGATACGTCCAACCTCTCATTCTTTCTTGTCTCTAATTCCCTTCTGCAGTGTTGTACTTTAATTTTGTTTTTTTATTGTTCTGTAACCTCAGATCGTATTCAGATATTGTTAACCTTTAACAATTTTTATCATTTTAAATAATCAGATAGCGTAGAACATAAATGGAATGTGAAGAACAACATCGAGATACGGGTTCCTTAAAATTAGTTGAACTGTTTTTCAAGGCATTTCTGGCTAAGAAAGAGATGAAGATATCACGAATGCATTTCTAACGCATAAACTAGGATTTCTATAGCTTCTGTTGTATGTCGGGGACAGGATTAAACCCCATTGGGAAACGATGGACTATTCCATATGGATTGGTTATATCTAACACATAACTACCGTTAATTAGGTGTGCCATGGTAAAGCTACATGCTGTCTAAATTTTACGATGGGAATTTCTAGTATTTAGATTTTACTGACTTATCCAAAGTTCAAGAATATATTCATACTACGTCTTTAAAAAATGGTTTTCTCAATACCTAACGTCATTTTAAACTTGGATTCAGAGTTAAAAACTCTAAAACCTGATGAAAGTTTATTGAGAAGTATACTGTTCATTCGTGCATGAGGGTTTGTACAGTAAATCCATCATTATGGTCACAAACTACCACTTAATATTGTACTCTCTACATCGCATTGATAGTGTTTAAAGATTTTCGAAAATAATTTTCAAAGGTAATGAGTTAGATGACTGGTCTTCATTCTTATTTAACGGACAGTGCTAAATGTCGAATTGAACACTCAGCAACTCCCTATATTATTTTTAACTTTCTAAAGAATGATTTGTCCAAAAGTAGGATATAATTGACAAGAACTCCAGTAGGAACCATTCTATCCGAATTGGAACATAAACTCATTGATTTAATAGGGAACTAAAAGAGAGGATCCCAAATACCATAGCAAGTTGGGGGGGAGGGAACAAACACTTTTTCCTGTATTTCTATGCTCTTTTTCAAAGAATTCACTTCCTCCATGTGCTGAAGGTGTTTGTAAAAAAGTGAGATGAGAAAAACCGACATTCAGAGCTTTAACCAGTCTGATTCACGTAGGAGAGTTGAGAAACTTCGCTTCCGAACCAATGTTCCACATGTCTCAAGATATTGAATAAAATATAAAATACTGAGGCATGAGATTACTTCAGACATTGATAAACGAGCTAGTGGATTCGAACTGTAGATCCAAAGTTGGTTGAGTGGCCATTCTCCGAAAACCATCAGCTTGTATGAGTGGGTATATATGTAATGTTCCAGTGATATGACGTGATGAAAAGGAAAAAATTACATTCTTCTATTCAGTATGATTTTTATTCAACACTACTTCGTTATTAATTCAATATGATTACTCTGCGTAATACTAGTTCTGTTTTCCAGTGTGATATTTTATTCGGTATAACAATGATTAATGTGTGATGTAATTTCAAGATACGATATTCTTGTATTAAATTAACATGGACTATGCTCAGCATGACAAACAGTACGTGATCTGTTATAACTCCGGGTATTTTTTTTAGAATTCTAATTAATAATTAAAATGAGTGTACAATCAATATATGTCTATTTTCGATAAGGATCGTCATGTCCAGGGATCAATAAATCTTTACGTGTACCAGTTTCAGTGTTCTTGATTCGTGTCGTGCGAGTTAGAGTGATTCAGGTACAATTAACAAACGACACGGAAATAACACACACGACTCATAAAAGTAACGACAATAATGAATGAATGATCTAATTACTAAACCCAACTAATAGCACGAATGATACCTTTAACTGTTTTATTATTAAATGAATTTATTTTATAACAGATTTTCTACTCTAATCTATTTTTTTCGGGTATTAAAGTTGTGTGATGTTGACGATCAACGGACAATGAATATTTCGCAAGTCGATCCTTACAAAAATTTCATAATATACAAAGGTTATTTATTCAACTGTTCAATTCAATTTCTGTGACATATCAGCAATTCCAAGATCCGATAAAAGACAACTTTTAAATACTTTTATTTCACGACCATTTGTGGAAAAAAACATTTACCTAATTTCGAACTGGTATCATCTAATTTACCTCAGTATCTATAAGAAACCAATCTTGATTCATTGACAATATAAAGTGTTAATCCAATTAAGATAATTGAGAGAATTTCTCAACTGATGAGATGGTTAGCTCAGTCAGTCAGCTACAACGTAGGACCAGGCACATATATGCATCGGTTCAAGTTGCCATACCTCATTAACACAACAAGATGGACACCGGGTTCATAAAAGTAGTTAATTCAGAGGTGGTAATATATAAAAGAAAGATTGCAATAAGGATATAGTACAGGAAGAAAGAATTAATCCGTAGAAAAAAAGATATGAAGTAATTTTAATCTCTTAGTTTAAGGGAAGACATAGAGTGTATACACCAACACCATCGTGATCGATTCTGAGCCATGTCACCAAGAGTCTCCAACCATTGGGTACGATAGTCACGCAAACCCCAACCAAGTAGTCTGCATCTACCAACATGGCTCAGAACACAAAGTTAGTGACTTCAAGCACTGATGCCACGTTTTGGTTTGGTCGCCCCTAACTTTCTTCCAACCATCTCTAACACAGATTAGCATTGTACGACGTGGTAATCGGTGTTCAGGCGTACGTAACACGTGGCGCAACCATCTCAGTCGATGAAGATTCACAACCTCATCGATTGATTTACCATCATTCCCTAATACCCTGCGCCTAACCTCACTATTACTTACCCGGTGATCCCAGATGGTCAGGTAATTTGTAATGATAGTATATTGATATTTTATGTAGCATTTACAGTATACTAGGGATTTACATTGAAAGATGTTTCATTCCGTCGAACTTTATTTAAAATGAACACTTAATGTTATTAGAAAGTGCTTAACTGTGAAATAACATCAGCTAGGAAAAAAACACGACCACACAGATGTTTGTTAAGTCCATAAATGTGTACAATCAAAGATACGCAGTCGAACTGAGATCCTTTGAGTCTCGTGTAGAGGAAAACATTATTTAGTCATCGAGAAAGTAACTAAGCCAACAACGTACTACTAATCGAATTAACTATGATGTGACTTAAATGATTCGAAATAATGTAAAAATGCATGACAACAATATGAACAGATGGAAACGAAGTGTAGAGAACTAGAAGACATACTCTCACAGTTAATGACTACTGTTTTTCTTAAATAATAACAATAAAGAATGAATTTAAATACATCAGCATTTACTATTTACATTAACAATAACATTATTGACATGAGAGAACATAGACAGAAAAAAGCCAAATGAACATTAAAGACAATGAATAATAATAATAATAATAATAATAATAATAATAATAATAATAATAATAATAATAATAATAATAATAATAATAATAATAATAAAAATAGACAGGGAAATCTCAAAATTCTACGGTAAGTATCAAAAGAAAGGAGAACGAACACTACAAAAACACAGTGATTTTTTTACACGAAAAGAAACAAAGATGGAATTTTAAACAATAAGATAATTTAACAAAACCGGGTGATCATTTTCCATAGTGACCTGATGATGATATTGGAGGAGAGA